ATGGCCATGCAGGCCCCCTCACCCCCGAGGAATGCTGTTCAGATTCACACGTGCTAATGGCGCCAGTTTGGATTTGAACAGAATAACCGAACATCTACCAGCTGGCCCGCGCTTTCAGCCTCTCACACTCTTACTACCCCGTGAATGGACCATTCTGGGTCTCCAGTTTATTAACTGAATTTTTATATCATCACACTCACTTTTAAAATGTGTGAACCCCCAATTTTCAATGCACTGTGCCAGTTTCCAGTTGAGCTTACAAAGCCTCAGGCCTCCGACGGGTTGTGTTACATTTGCAGACGTGAGTGGCACCGTGTGTCACCATGTTGTCCCCTCCCCCGCCCAGTACCCAGACTCCACACACACTCCACACACATTCAGTCAAGGGCACTGCAGGTCTGCACTCACTTCCTGGGGTCCCCCTCCACACCCAGAGTGGACGTGGCCAACATCACCCCTGGGCGCCTGCTTCTCAGCCTGGAGAAACACATGCACGCACTCGTCACTGGGCCACCTGATCAGATCTGTGTCTGAGATCGTGCCTGTGTGTGAACTCTGTAGACGCTCAGATACGTGTAAGAGGGTGGGAAACCTTTTCCGCTCATTGAGTTACCCAGCCCAGAGAAAAATGGTCCTTTTGGTCCGTGTGAGTTACACACAGCCACCACCATTAGCAACAGGGCTTCTCCAGTTTTATACAAGGAAGAGGATAGAGTGAACAAGACAAGAATGTTCAGAAGCCCCCAGGGGCCCGTGTCTTTTACTTGTGAATTAAACACTCAGGACCCAAATTCAGCAGATTACTCTTCAAATATAGAGTGTTTATTAATTGTTCAGTAAGGACAAAGTGACCAGGAGTCTAAGGCATCACCACCTGCTTCCCCCACCCCCCGCCCCAGCAGGTGGCCTCTGGCCGTGAATGAATAACAGCTAGTAAGGTCTGTGCCCCTTTCGGGGGGCCACGTGCATTCAGTTGCAGTCTCCCCGTGCTCCTGTGGACCACCCGGGTCAATGCAAAGGTAGGTGCCAGTGTGTGGGCGAACAGGCCCCGGAGTTTCAGCCAGAGGGCCGTGGGGGCCCTGGCTTCTCCTTCTTTCCTCATGCCCTTTCCCGCTCCTCCTCTCTGGATTAGTTTTCTCATTGGGAGGAATCGAAGGTCTCCGATGTTTCCACCTCCAGCCACAGGAGCCGTTGCCAGGTCTTGCCCTCGGTCTGGCATTTATTTGGAGAGTCATCTTTGACTCATAAGGGAAGGAGTGAGCTTTTGAAGTTGAATGTGAGCCATTCCGTCCCCTCTGTTTGCTAAGCATCTTCAGAAAATGACAGGAGGGGACCAGCAGTTAGCATAATGGCTATGTCGCTGGACTCCCATGTAGTCGACCACGGTTCGCATCCCGGACCCGGTGGCTTAAACTCACGCCGGGCGCATGTGCGTGCGTGCCCAAGATCCCGAGAGGAGAATGGAGGAGAAGGGATTGCGGTGTGGCCATCCCCCTGGGGGGTGATTTCTCGCTTTCTATCTCTCTCTCTCTCTGTCTATCTGGCAAGCGCACGTACCCTATAGCAAAAACCTCTAAAAAAATGAAAAAAAAAGAAAACGACAGGAGCCGCCCGCAGAAGACCGCAGCCACCGCGTTGCTGGCTCTGTTCGTGTCCGTTTGGGGTATGGGAAAGGGGTCGCCAGGTGTCCTTTTTGGAGCTGCCCAGTGACTTAGGAACAATAACTCAAATCAAAGTTTTCCAAACTCTTGTTCCATACGACACAATCCATTCTGAATTCCAGACTTTTAGCCACTTCAGTAAGACTTTTCAGCAGTTAATTCTATAAGGACAGGAATGGGGCAGTTGGGGGCTAGGCCAGCTCTGCACCTCCTAACTAGCTGTGTGACCTGAGTGGTCATACAGTTTCCGGGAACCAGCAGTTAAGTTACATGAAAGTGGTGCCTCCCAGCTTCGATACTCCATGATCCTAAGAATTACAATCTTTCACTATAATTTTGGAGTTTTGTTTTGTTTTTTAAAGATTTATTTATTTTTCATTTTATTTGTTTATTCTTCAATTTTGGCCAGAGACAGACAGACAGAAAGGGAGAATTAGAAAGCAAGCCACTAGGTTTGGGACTTGATTCGTGGTTGGTCATGTGGGAGTCCAGCGTCCCAACCACTATGTCACCTGCTGGTCCTCAGTATAATTTTTTATAACCTTTATGTAATTTTGGAGTTTTGTTTTGTTTTGTTTTTTAAAGATTTAATTATTTTTTCACATGAGTTTTGCCAGAGAAAGACAGAAAGAGAGAGAGAGGGAGAGTGAGAAAGCAAGCTGTCAGGTTTGGGACTTGATTCGTGGTTGGTCATGTGGGAGTCCAGCGTCCCAACCACTATGTCACCTGCTGGTCCTCAGTATAATTTTTTATAACCTTTATATCAAGTGTATTGTAACTTGATAAATTGCTTAGAGACAAAGTCCTCATGTGAACCTGACCCTGGGTTATTGTCTTAGGATGGCCTAGGCGGGCAGGAGGGGTAGACATGCAGAGGCAGCATGACAGGAGACTTCCATGTGGCCAGTGGGACGTCCTAGAGGTGGTCAGGCTGGGAGCAGCCTGCAGCCTGAGCAGGACGCCTGAGGCTCATGACCCAGGCAGCACCAGGCAGGCAGAGGAAGAGGGAACAGAGACCTGGCCCGAGATCCATCCCCGGGCGTGTCAGGGCCCTAGAGGCCCAGTGTCCAAGGTGTGCTCAGTCATCAGCCAGGAAACACCAGGAGGCTAAGATGAGGGAACAGGTGCCAGCCAGTGGGTGGAGCCATGTGGCAGGTGCACATTACCAGAGTTCAGCCCAGATAAAGTGGGCCCCAGGCTCCAGCGAGTGTTCAGGAACAGGACACCCGTCCTAGGGGGCCGGGGCTGAGTGGGCAGTCAGCCGGGTGGAGGAGCAGAAGCTAAGCCTTCCCCAGCAGGGCCCAGCAGCTCAGGGGCTCCTCACTAGTAGGGGGCAAAGGAGTCCTGGGGAGCTCTGCAGGGGCCTGGGGCTGCCCCAAGCCTGGGCTCTAGGATCGGGAGGAGTCTGAGTAAGGCCTTTTGTGGACGGGAGACCAAGCAGCTGCCTGCTTCTGTCTGGGCTGGCTCCACAGCCAGGCAGGCCTGAGCACGGAAGGGAAAGGTATCCGCAGGCCCAGCTGAGGTCCCCGACCTCAGAGGCCAAGGAAGTGATATAAGAACAGCTGGTTCTCCCTCCAGATATGAGCCCTCCCCCTCCCCCAGCCCCACCCACACCAAAGCAGGCATTCTCTGAATTTGCTGAAATGGCGCCTCACCACCTATTTGTCATAGCCTCAGGAATGCAGTTAAAGCCCAGAATTCTAAAAGAAGGATTCCCGAACGAACTTCGGTTTTCTCTAATTATCTTGGAGAATCTTGTCACTATTTTAAGGCGTCTCAATTTGTAGATAAGTAAGGTTTAGAAACAGGCTGAGCAGTGCCATGGTGGCTAAGGCGGCTGGATCTCACATAGCTGACTGTGGTTTACGTCATGGACCTGGTGGCTTGAAAAACATGCCAGGTTCCTGTGCTTCCCTGCCCAAAATCCTGAAAGGAGGGAAAGATGGAGGAGAAGGGATGGCAGCACTGCCATCTCCCACAGGGGGGCTTCCTCACTCTCCCTCCCTCCCTCTCTTCCATCTTTCTCTTTCTGGTGAGCACATGTGCCCTCTGGCAAAAGTTTAAAAAAAATAAAAATAAAAAAAGCTTGGAATCATTCCTCCAAACCTTTATCTTCAGCAGAGGCCAGGCAGGACAATGCGCCTCTGTTAAGAGGACCTGGGTGTAGCTGGAGCGGTGAGCGTGGTCCGGCCTGAGCCCGTCGGCGTTTGCGGTACGCACGGCTGTCAGACGGCTTCTGGCTGTGTCCGCACACACAGGCCTTCAGGCGAGCTGTGGAATATATCTGCTTGTCCCCTTGATTTAATTTCCATTCTTCCACAAGATTATAGTAGAAGTCTGTTTCCTTTAATAAGATTTTCCAGAGAGCCACATAGTCATTTTCTCTTTGTAATCGCTGCTCTGTTTTTCATCCTTTCTTGTTTTAGTTATTTCCTTGACTTCTAAATTACTCTGTAGAATTCAGGGAATACAAAGAAAACTTTTGTAATGAACATTTCTTGCTGTCCCGAAGCTGGAGCTCGGTGGAAGAGTGGGGATGGTAAGGAAGGCTTGACAGGCCACAGCAAACCCAGGCCCCCCTCAACCCCTGCATCGGGTAACAGTCCCAGGTTGCCACCCTCCCCCCAGCTCTCACCCCTAGGTGATCAGGCCAGGTGGTGGCACAGAGGTCACAGAACTGGACCCATGCAGGAAAGGTCATGGGCTGGTGTCCTGCGACCTCCGGGGCACGCAGGTTGTGTGCGTGGCTGTCATCTGGGCCAGCTGAGACTGGGGCGGGTCAGGACATGAAGACCCTGTAGGGGTGCCTATCTCTATCTCTCTCATGGAAGAAATAAATAAATAAACTTCAAAACAACTGGATACAATCTTATTTTAAAAAAATTATTGAGACCAGCAGATGACGTAGCAGCTACGTTGCCTGACTCCCACATGACTGACCACGGTTTGAGTCCCAGACCTGGTGGCTTGAAAATCACTCTGGGAGAATGTGCATGCGTGTCCAAGATCATGGGAGGCGAATGGAGGAAAAGGGATTGCAGCATGGTCATCCCCCCGGGGGGTGCTTTGTCACGTTCCCTCTCACTGTCTCTCTCTCTCCAGTGAGTGCATGTGCCCTAAGGCAAAAACCTCCCTATTGTCTAGGGCAGAACTCTGGGCCTGCATTCCAGCTCCCATGAAGAACCATGGCCCCCTACCCTCGCCTTGCTCCTGTCCCGAGGACCACGCGTCTGCGTGGGGGTTTGTCCTGCGTGATAATGCATGGAAGATGCAATCTTGTTTGTCCCTCCTCTGGTGCAGCTCTGAATGGCACACCCTCACCTGACCTTTGTCCCGCAGGTTCACGCCTACATCATCAGCCACCTGAAGAAGGAGATGCCAAGTGTGTTTGGGAAGGAAAACAAGAAGAGAGAGCTTATCAGCAGGCTGCCAGAAATCTACATTCAGCTGCAGCGAGAGTACCAGATTTCCGCAGGGGACTTCCCTGAGGTCAAGGCAATGCAGGTACCAGGAGCCCTCTGCAATGTCGGGGGCAGGGGGTGGACACATGGGGCTCTCGTGCGTCAGGATCATAGAGAATGCGAGAACAGTGGCGCGTGATCAGAGGCTCCTGGGGATAAAGCGAAATCACAGGCCTTCCAACACATTTCAACGAAAGGGGGCCCAGCAGCAGGCATGACGCTCACACACGGACCTCAGATGAGCATCCCTCTTAGGCTGTGCTCTAGGAGCTTGTTTTGATGTTAAGGGAACACCTATTTTTAGAATTTCCAGCCTTAAGGCAGTCAGAGCTGAGAGTGGCCATGGGGTCACCTTGTGTGGCCTCCCCCAGCCCTGCTCACCCTGCCCTGCGCTGCAGGATGCTGTGCTCAGACGGCCTTGCTGCTGCTGCTAACCGGCTCCATCGGGGCATGGGCTCTGTGCACATAGCCGGTCCTTGGCCGCACAGCAAGAAATTTGCCTAGAGGCTGGTACTGGGCAGCCTTTGGCCCCAAGGCAGGGCCTCTCTTGAGTTGTGTCTGGCAGCCCAGCTGATCCCGAATGGGTGTGGCATCCGGCCCCTGGCCTGCCCGGCATCCTCCCAAGCAGGGCCTCCCCTTGCACAGAGCCAGACAGACCATCTTCTTGTCCAGTGTCAGGGCCCATGTGCACTGGGGCCTCAGTCCTCACCATAAGTCAGGCAAGAATTTCTAGTGTCTGTAGCCGTCAGTCGAAACTACGAGCAAATGAAACGGGCCAGGGGAAAGAAACCGCATCACACTCTGACACCTCTGGTTTTCCACACCTGACAGAGGTGTGGGTTCTGAGAAATAAGGGACCAGCAGTTAGCGCAATGGCTATGTCTCTGGACTCCTACGTAGTCGACCGTGGTTCGCGTCCTGGACCCGGTGGCTTAAACTCACACCAGGCGCGTGTGCGTGCATGCCCAAGATCCCAAGAGGAGAATGGAGGAGAAGGGATTGCGGTGTGACCATCCCCCCAGGGGGGGTGATTTCTTGCTTTCTATCTCTCTGTCTCTCTCTCTGTCTGTCTGGTGAGCGCATGCGCCCTATAACAAAAACCTCTCAAAAAAAAAAAAAAAAAAAAGAAATAAGTCTCTACAAGGAGGAAGACGATTCTGCAAGAGTCACAAGAGCCTTTCAGGGGCCCCCATGGTGGGGCAGAGTAGAGGGCATGGGCCCTGCCCCGGTGCAGCCCACAGCCACAGCCCCGAGAGAATACAAGCCCGAATGGTTCAAGAGAAGCCAGGAGTCACTGTGTGTGTGAAATTGCCTGGTTTTCAAAGTTAGGCTCGAACTTTCTACATAGTCCAAAATACCACTCAGGCCAAACAAAGCCCACCATATACCTGCACCCCGGGACCACCTGCTCCATCTTCCGCCCCTGGTGGAGAGTGGCAGCCCTGACGTTCTGCAGGCAGGAGCACCTTCAAGGGAGGGGGAGAGAAAGGACCACGTGCAGGTGGCTGGAGGGCAGTGTGGATTTTAAAGTAAGCTTTGTGTGAATTACACATTAAAACAGGGTTGGGACCAGCAGTTAGTGTAATGGCTGTGTCGCTGAACTCCCATGTAGTTGAACATGGTTCGAGTCCCAGACCCGGTGGCTTAAGCTCACACTGGGTGTGTGTGCGTACTTGCCCAAGATCCCAAGAGGAGAATGGAGGAGAAGGGATTGCGGCATGACCATCCCCCCAGGGGGTGATTTCTCACTTTCTGTCTCTCTGTCTCTGTCTTTCTGGCAATCGCATGTGCCCTATAGCAAAAACCTCTCCAAAAATAAAAAAGAAAGAAACAGAGGTGGGTCACCCTCTCCAATTCCATGACAGTTCTTTGACCCTGGGGTCACAGAGAGTGGATGGGCTGGATTCGCCGAGTTCATTTTAAACAAACGCAGACACGCCCTTTCCTCCAGCTGTGAAGTAGGTGTTCCCGTACTCAGGCTGAGTTGGGCTTCTGGTCACGAGATGGCTCACTGGAGGGCTGCAGTGGCCTCTTGGAGCAGTCTCAGCAAGTTCCCCTTTCATACCCTTGGTTGTGCCCTGCACCCCGTGGCCAAACTGTAGGACAGCTGTTTCCTTTCCCTATTTCTGAAGGGAACTTGGCTTCTCAACTTTAATGGAGACGCACAGCATGGCGGTGGCCTACTGGGCGCCCTGAGACACTGGCCTAGTGCCGCCCCAACAGAAACCCGTCCAGGCGCTGCTGCTCCCTGAGTGCATCAAGGTCTCCTCCTGGTCCCCAGGTGAGCCCTTACAACAAGGGAGCAGACGAGGGGCTGAGGTCTTCAGGACATCGCTGCCCCAGCCCAGCCCCTCAGAGCTGCCAAAAGGACAGTTCCTACGGCAGGGAGAGTGTGGGAGCAGCCCCAGCCCATGTAGCTGGAAGGTACAGAAGGGTCTGGGCCTTCAGGCCCCTTCCAGGTACCTCAGCACCTTCAAGGACATCCGAGTGCCCAGAGACTGGGAGCAAGGAGCCCCACCACACATGTGCCCCGTTCTTACATGTTCGTTCACTTGTTCATTCACCCAAGAAACGTCAACTAGGCCTACTGTGGCCAGGCACTGTTCTAGGCCCCTGAAATAAGTCAACAAACATGAGTGAATGAATAGCTAGCAGGTGGCATGGTGGTTGAGCTGCTGGACTCCTACCTGGTTGACCATGGTTCAAGTCCCAGACCTGTTGGCTTGGAAATCACACTAGGCATCTATGCACGTTTGCCCAAAATCTCAGGAAGAGAATGGAAAAGGGATTGCAGCATGATCATCCCCGCAGTGGGTCATTTCTCACCTTCCCTCTCGCTGTTTCTCTGTCAAGTACACGTGCCCTATGACAAAAACCTTTAAAAACTAAAATGAAAGAAATAGCCTAGTCTTTGCCACCACAATTGTGGCTGTCAATGAAGCTTTTGGTAAAACCCATTGCTGGGACGCAGGCCCCTCGCTACAGCACAAAAGCCGCCCTGCTTCAGCGTCCTTACTTAAATTACTTACCACCTGCTGTTTACTGTCTGCGTCCCCTTCAGGCTGTAGTCCTGCCATCAAGGACACAGTCCGTGCTTGATTAACACGTGTCAGGCGAGTTAATAAGTGAGCATGTGCTCACGGCATGGCAGGGTGTAGGGTTTGAGTTTCTCAGACCTGGCTCAACCCCAGTTCCTGCAGGGTCTACAGACCAGGGCTTTTTGCACCAAATCCCTAGACACTGGTAAACTATTCCTACTCGGGAAGTCAGCAAGTCCCTTCAGAGAATCCCTGGGAATGATGGGGCTGGTGGGTGGCATGGTGGTTAAGGGCACTGGACTCCCACACGGCTGGCTGTGGTTCGAATCTAGACACGGTGGCTTGTTTTCTCTCTCTCTCTCTCTCTCCCCCCCCCCGGTCAAATTAAAATAAATAAAGGTAAATAAGTAAGTAAGTAAATTGATTAATTTTTAAAAAGAAAGAAAGAATGCCTAGAATGAAGCAGGCCTGAAGCCCACAGGCCAGTTTGCTGTCACTGAGGAAGCTTCGAGCAGGTCCTGGTTGTGGATCACGCCTCTCCCACCTGGGTCTGTTGAGAGTCTAACATCTTCTACAACACAGGTGTTGAGCCCTACGTAGACCACCTGTGGGACAGAGGTGGGAGGCACAGGCTTAGTGAGGAGACACCGTACAGAGAGCTCACTTTGCCAGGTTTCCGTCTCTAGTCTCTATCCACTCCTGGGCCAAGCTGGTCAAGTGACTGTCTGCCATAGAAGTGAGCAGAATATATATTTTGAAGGCTTTTCCCTGATGCTGGATCAGGCCCTGCAGCTGCCCATGCAGCTGCCTGTGTCTGCCCCAAGCCCAGCAGGAGCAGCTCTGACTCACAGCCCAGATGTGTCAGTACCACAGTGGTTAATCCCAGTGCTTCAGGAGCCGGATCCCACATAGCCAACTGTGGTTCCAATTCCTGCCCAGAGGCTTTGAAAATGCACCAGGTTGTGTGTGTGTGTGTGTGTGTGTGTGTGCTCGAGATCCTAGCAGGAAGGAGGAATGAAGGAAAAGGACTGTGGTGTGGACATGCCCTACTGTGAGGGGTTCTCTTTCTCTCTCTTCCTCTCTTCCCACCTCTGGTGACTGCATATACCCTCATCAATAAATAATAATAATAATACCTGCAGAGCAAGAACACTAGAAACACCATCCTTTGCAGACTCCATTGCCCTCCTCCAGAAGGAATCCCGACCTCGCAGCTAGAGAATTGGCAGCATTTCAACAGCAGAGGGCAGCAGAGCCACCCCCCCCACATGCCCTCACAGGGATTTGGAGAGGTTTTTTGTTTGTTTGTTTGTTTTGCTATAGGGCGGTGAGCTCACCAGACAGACAGAGTGAGACAGACAGAAAGCGAGAAATCACCCCCCAGGGGGGATGGTCATGCCACAATCCCTTCTCCTCCATTTTCCTCTCTGGATCTTGGGCATGCACACACATGCGCCCGGCGTGAGTTTAAGCCACCAGGTCCAAGACTCGAACCCCAGTCGACTACAAGGGAGTCCAGCGACATAGCCGTTATGCTAACTGCTGGTCCCCCTCACAGGGATTTGAAAAAACTTCTGGTCAATGTTGGGAACAAGTGAGCAAGGGAGAGCCCCTCAGGCTGCACACCAGCCTCTGTCTCAGGAGGGAGCAATTCTGGGCTCCTGGGCTTGGTGGGCATAGTTGTTGATGGGTAGGTACACCTTCAGATTTCCCAGTGGGTTTTTATCCCAATAAAGACTTCTGTTTGGGACCCACCCTGCTGTGAGCACAGATGACAGCGGAGTAACTCATTCCCTACCCTCCCCACGAGAGGAGGGTTTATTTCCCCTGTGCCCTTCAGGGCAGGAACAGCTGCTGTTTCCTGTCCACCCCTGCAAGTATGTGGCTATTTCCCCTTGCCAGCTTTCCAGAAGTTTGCAGTAGGAGTCCATGCCCCCTGCAGGCTGGTGGAGGGTCCAGGCGAGCCTTCTGCTGCCAGACACAAAGCTCGGTGTGCTCAGGGCCCAGCTCATTCATGGGGAAGTGGGGTAGGTGTTTGTGCATCCCAGGGAATCCCGACTTGTTTACCCCAGCAGCACTGAGATTTTTGTGTAGGCTCCCTTCCCCTCCTCTGTGTTCTCTTTTCAGTGCCCTGGGCTGACCAAGACGCTGACAGCAGGAGCTCAGAGTGCTGGCAGCCGCAGGGTGCTGTTGCTGGAGGTGACAAACTGGTGACTGTGATTTACCACTGAGAGTGAAGGACACAGAAACCAGAATCATGTCAGAAACCAGCCTGCATCACCCCACTGCCCTGAACAAAGTGCAGGCCACACATATGGCTGACTATAGTTCGAATCCCAGCCTTATGACTTGGAAAATAGCCTGAGCACATGTGTTTGCACGCCCCAAACCCGACACTCTGAAGTGGAGAAGGGATTGCACGTGACCGCACCCCATAGGGAGGTGCTTTCTCCCGCTCTCTCCTTCTCTGGGGAGCGCACTTATCCTCCAGCAATTTAAACAACTGGGAAGCCCTAGGAAGTTGCTGTCACTCCTGTGGCCACCAGCAGAGATTAGTCACTAAAAGGAAAAAGTCCACATTGCATCTCATACAATTTGTTTGTTTATTTGCTTTTTTAATTAAGGTTTTTGGGACCAGCAGTTGGCATAATGGTCATGTCGCTGGACTCCCATGTAGTCAACCACAGTTCGAGTCCTGGAACTGGTGGCTTAAACGCATACCATGCGTGCGTGCATGTGTGCCCAAGATCCTGAGAGGAGACTGGAGGAGAAGGGATTGTAGTGTGGCCATCCCCCGGGGGGATGATTTCTCACTTTCTGTCTCTCTCTGTTTGTCTGGCGAGTATATGCGCCCTATAGCAAAAACCTCTCAAAAAAAAAAAAAATTAAGGTTTTGGCCATAGGGCAGACACAGAGGGAAAGTGAGAGATCACCTGGGGGGATGGCCACACCACAAGCTCTTCTCCATTCTCCTCCTGGGATTTGGAGCATTGCACACACATGTACCTGGCACAAGTTTCAAGCCACCGGGTCCAGAATTCCAACCATGGTTGGCCACATGGGCATCCAGCACCTTAACCACTACGCCTCCTGCTGGCCCCGCAACTTGAAACCGTGCCTCCATCTGGCCATCTGGCAAGTTTGAACATGGAACCCTCAAAGAGAGAGCTTTGGACTGGCAGGGGGCGGGGGGAACGTGTGCTTTAGGGAGGAGTCCCCTGGCTGCTGGCTGCCACTGCCCTAGGAGACAGCACTAACCCACGTGTGGCTTCTCCTGCAGGAGCAGCTGGAGAACTACGACTTCACCAAATTCCACTCCCTGAAGCCCAAGCTGATCGAAGCGGTGGACAACATGCTGAGCAACAAGATCTCGTCGCTGATGAGCCTCATCAGCCAGGAGGAGATGAGCATGCCCACGCAGCTCGTGCAGGGCGGCGCCTTCGACGGCACCACCGAGGGCCCCTTCAACCAGGGCTACGGGGAGGGCGCCAAGGAGGGCGCCGACGAGGAGGAGTGGGTGGTGGCCAAGGACAAGCCCGTCTACGACGAGCTCTTCTACACCCTGTCGCCCGTCAACGGCAAGATATCGGGTGTCAACGCCAAGAAGGAGATGGTGACCTCCAAGCTGCCCAACAGTGTCCTGGGCAAGATCTGGAAGCTGGCCGACTGTGACTGTGACGGCATGCTGGACGAGGAGGAGTTCGCGCTGGCCAAGCACCTCATCAAGATCAAGCTCGACGGCTACGAGCTGCCCAACAGCCTGCCCCCCCACCTCGTGCCCCCCTCTCACAGGAAGTCCCTGCCCAAGGCCGACTGAGGGGTGGGCCGCGGAACAGGGCGGGCGGTGGGGTGGGGATCGGGGACCCGGGCCTGCTCTGCCGCTGACTCACTGAATGGCCTTGGGCAAGCCACTGCCCACCCTGTGCCTCGGTTTCCCCCTCTGTAGAATGAGGAGGGCAGACCCTGGACACTAGACGAGGTTCTTGCACCTCTAAAATTCCCTGCGTGTCTATTAAAGTTTTGGGGGCTGGGGGAACAGACAAGGAGATTAAAGGGTTAAGAAGAAAGGGAGATTGTCCTCAGAGTACTGGAAGCCCCAGGACTCTCCCTGGGCTGTGTCCTCACGGTGAGCCTCTGTAGTCCCTGTCTGTCCCTCAGAGGGCACCAGAGGCAGCGGCCAACGGTCTTATTTATTTCATTTATTTCCTGCTGTGTGCAGAGTGGGAAAAACAGAGCAGAGGGCTTCTGCCGCCTCCGCAGTCTGCCAGGGGAAGGCTGGCGCCCCAGGTTTGGAAAGAGGATGCACTGGGTGTGCGTGCGCCCTGTCCCCTCTGCAGGCGCCAGCCCGGCAGGCAGTCAGGCCCCTCCCAGACCTTCCCTGCAGGGTTGTACTTGGGTAGGAATTTGGAACTCAGACTTCTGGTTTGCATTTCAAGTCATGTTGAAGTCCGAAGATCAGCTCTCCTTCTTGGCATGCCCAATAAATTGTAGCAAAGCCCATTTATCAAACTTAAGCCACGGGAAGGAAGAGGTGCCTCTCCTCAGCCAGCTCAACTGTGGAAGTCCTCAAGGCCCCTTGGCTGATGGCAGGATTTAAATCTGCAAAAAAACGTGTCTTGCTTGGTCAGTGCAGTGTCCTGGCCCTGGGGACACAGGCAGACTGAGGGACCAGCCTTGCCCTGGGCTGTCGGGTAAGACCTCAGCCTGCTAGAGTCAGTCAGGCCCTGTTCACAGAACGCAGGCAGTTTATTATGGCTGGGTGTGTTTTTGTTTTTATTTTCTTATAGGATAAAAGCCTTGATACAGAAACAAAATGAAATCTTTCCTACAAAACCTTTTCTTCAAAGGCTGCGTGGTTTGTATGGTGAATGCCCGTCAGCGGCAGGATTTGAACACTTACCGCTCTGGCTCCTGAGTGTCTTCCCCGGGGAACCCCCCCCCGCCGTCCCGCTCAAAGGCCGTGCCAGGGGAAGGTGGGCAGTCCTCACGGCCGCCCTCGTGCCCTGTGGCACCAGCTCGTGCAGCGGGTGCCATCGCCACGATTTCCGCAGTGAGACAGACGAGGAATGGCGCGCCACGGGTGGGGGCCCTTCCGGCCCCAGAACAGTCCCACTGAACCTTACAAGAAACTTTTTTTTTTTCTGTCACCGCATCTGGCAAGAAGTCACCTCCAACAGAGTCAGAACTACAGATTAAGAAAATACTGAATCGGAGGCAGCATTGGCCCAGGTGCTAACTCTCACACGCCCTAGCTCGCTCGCTAAGTCATTTAGATTTAAGAGAAGCACACGCGTAATGTGGCTTTTACTCTTAGCATGCTGAGATTAATTAGAGCAAAACCCTCAACGCCCGCGCTGTACAATGAGCGGAGCGAGCGTGTGAGTGGCTGCACGAGGCTGCCCGTGTCTGTAGGTGCAGTGAGGCCCCCAGAGTGAGGCAGCTGGGAGGAAAGGGTAAAGTCCACGTGTCCAAAGATTGAGAGAGGCCAAGGAGAGCTGACTGTCCGTCCAGGATATTCTCGCTTCTCTAACTGTGCTCAGTTTTCATGTATAAACATATTCACCTGTATGTGCCACATAGGTGTGTTTCGTTTTTTTTTTTTTTTTTTTTTAATTTGCCAGAGGGCCTGTACACTCACCAGAGAGCCAGAGAGAGGGAGGGAAAGTGAGAAAGCACCTCGTGTGGGGATGGTCACGCTGCGGTCCCTTCTCTTCCATTTCTCAGGGGATTTGGGGCACATGGCACACAAGCCAGGCGTGTTTTTCAGGTCCGGGACTTGAACTCTGGTCGGCCATGTGGAGTCCAGCTGCCTTAACCACCATGCCACTGGCTGGCCCAAGTATGTATTTTTCAAACTTGTCAATATGGGCGTATGTGTAGATGGGCACGGTTCATCTCCACAGAGACAGAGAGGAAGCTGTTTTTAGGGGGCAGCCAGCTGAGATTTCTGGTTCTCCGTGGAAGGAAAGTTGCGATCTCCCTCCCGCACACCTCAGGTGGGAGAGACTTCTGGCAGCTGTCATTTCCCTGCAGGGACCTGGTGATGTTCTTGGGGAAGAAGAAAAGGAAATTGAGTGGCCACTGTTCATCCCTTTGCTCCCTCCGGGGGCGGGTGGGTAGTGTGGGTTTTTTCCTAGAAGGGGTCTCCTGCCTCAGCCCCTCCAATAGCGTGGGACCACCACACCCGGCTCTCTCTTTCCTTAATGTCCTCACTTACAACATGAAGTCTCTCATCCCGAAAGTCACTGGGGAGGAAAACAGTGGCAAACAGGGATGGCGACCAAGTGGGGACTTCAAAAGGTTTGTGGAAAAATGGAATTACGCTGCAAATTTAGTTTGGTGCAAAAGAGTTGAAATCCATGGATGTTTTTTTAATTTTTTTATGATGAGAACTTTTTGAAGACCCCTTGCCTGCTCCCAAGACCATCCCAAAGTTCGAGGCCATGTCCAAAGCACCAGGTCTCACCTCGCCTCCCCGCAGCTGAGCAGCGGAGGCCTCTCGGGTCAACTCACCTGGACCCCGTTGCCCTCCCCACACCCCCCTGATTCTCAAAGTGCCTCTCAGAGTGTTTATATGTGGGGGAGCGAGGAGGGAGGAAGCCCCCAAACTCAAGAGCTAGAACACGGTCTTCATGCCCTCCACGATGCCACAGAGGAGAGATCTGGAAGCCTTACTGTCTACACAGCAGATGGTGTCACAGCGCAGACCTCTGCAGCCTTGAGTTTAGGGGGAAGGGACAACCTCAGCCTGTCCCTCCTGAGGTCCCTCCTGAAACCGTAAAGGAACTTTGCACCAAACCTGCCAAAACTCCCCAGCTCCGCAGTGACAGGCAGGTGCCCCCTGCTTCGGCCTCCAAGTCCAGCCCAGCAGCCAGTACCGGTTCTCAGGACCGCAGACGCCCTCCACATTTGCGTAGGCTGCGCCGTTTCTCAGAGGCCGGGCTCCGTCCTCTGGAACATCTGCCTTTATGCAGCGACGACATCTTCGGACTTGGGGCTGTGATTCCTCCCAGGACCGTGGCCTGGAGGGGCTGATTCTTATGCTGTCTCATGGGCCGGGTGTCCAGGCATGTGAGGAGAAGCAAAATGCCCCCCCCTTCCTCCAAACCCTCCCCATCACCAGCCCCCAGGAGAGACCTCGGCCGGAGGTCCCTGCCCTGACCGCAAGATTGCAATCCTCGCCCAGAATGCTGCTGGGCCTCGTGAGGGGCCACCTCTGCCCTCCTGGAATGCCTTGTACTGGTCTGCCATCCAGGGCAGGGCCCACCCACTGGGGCACTGCCAGCACCTGTCCACTTTCCACAGTGGCCCTTCTCCATTCTGCCCAGAGCGTCCTGGGGACATGTTGCCGCGGTGGTAGGAAAGCATTTTACTGTTCATCTCTGCGGAACAGAGAGAAAGATGACCGTTCAGCGCTGGGTTTATTCAGGAAGCCAGAGGCCTCATTTAAAAGAGTATATCGGGTGACCTGTCAGTTAACCACACAGTTAATACACAATGCTTCTATAGTTTTTTTTTTTCCTTTTTGTAATCTTATTTGGAAGTGTCAAAAAAAAAAATGATTCAGTCTACTGATCAATAAACTTCTGGAAGAATCACCACCTTCCCATTGTCTGGCTCTCCAGTGACGGCAGCTGCCTCGGGGGGAGCGGGGGGGCGCCTCGGGAGTAAAGGGTGGTCCCTTGGGCCCATTTGAGATGAGGTTAAGGAGCTCCTCAGCGGGCATGCCTCTTCTCTACTCCATTCCTGTGACCCCCGACACTTCCTCTGTCCTCTGGGAAGGGGGTCGGGGGAGTGGCTCCATCCACCAGAGGCAGAGGAAGGTGGGCAGCACGAGACGCAGGCCGGGAACAGGCAGAGGGAGCCTCCACCTTGCTGGCCATTGTTGGGATCAAGCCAGGCCTGGAGAGGGTCCTGAAGGTACTGGGGACGAAGGGTCTTGGCACTGTCACAGCAGACCCCGGTGGCCTTCACATCCTCTCTCCACGAGGGAGAGAGGGCATGCCCCTGACGTCCTAGAGCAAAGCCCCTACTGGGCTGGCCCTGCCTCCCCCTCTTGCCACTCCTCACAGATGTGCCCTCCCATGGTAGACATGGGGTTTGCCTGCTGGTCCCCGAATACCGTGTAGTGATCCCAACCTGGGTCACCTCGTCAGAGCACTCTCTTCTTCCCACCCTCATGCTGAGCCATGAGGGTTATGTGGTTATGAGATAGAACCTACCCCTCTTTCAAGAGTGAGCCCTCAGGGCAGCAGATGGTGTAGCAGTTATGTCGCTGGACTCCCACATGGCCCGACCACAGTTTGAGTCCCAACTCTGTGGCTTGAAGCTCGTACTGGGCCCATGTGCGTGTGTGCCCAAGATCCCAGGAGGAGAAGGGATTGTGATGTGGCTATCCCCAGGGGGTGATTTCTCACTTTCCCTCTCACTGTCTCAGTCTCTCTCTGGAGAGTGCATGTGCCCTAGGCAAAATAACTCTTAAAAGCAAAGAGAGAGAGTCCTCATTGGCTTGAGCCTATTAGAGTATATCATCCCCTCAGTCACAGATACTGATTCAGGAATGGAAATGAGGCCCAATTCAAGCCTATGAGAGCCAGCGCCTCCCCCCACGTCTATCTCAACTCTTAGGAGAGATGTTCTCTCTTCTCTGAACTTTGCAGTATAAAGGACTGAACCTATTGGTCCAACAGTATTAATGCCCAGATGTAGGGGCAGGGAAGGCTGGTAGGAATATCAAGACCAAGAAGACATTGAGAAAGGCATGGGAAACCCAAGCCTATCGTGACATTATTTGAGCTGCTGGATCAAACCTCACCTGAAGTCCTATTCCTGATAAAATTTTCAGTTATATGGACTAATGCACTTCCTTTGTATTGTACAAATCAGTTCAACCTCGGATTTTGAGTACCAGCAACACAAATAATGCAAACTTTGTACTGACCAACAGGGATCTCATTTCACCAAGGGCGACTTCTATCAGTCATGGCCCAAAAGGAGCCAATCCTTGTAGTGCATGCAGTGGCTGCAGCTGTAGTCAAACGAAAGAGGAAGAAACGCAGTGCCCCAGCCTCATTCCAAATCAACCTCTGTCGAGATCTATGTGCAAAGAGCTGTGAAGTTCAGTCTGTCCTTGGTCAGTCTCACATCATCACTCATGACACCATGGGCCAAGCGTCTTTTTATTTTTTTCAGTTATCAAAAGCCACACGCACTCACAGGGGAGAGACAGAGACAGAGGGAGGGAGAAAACACGGCCACACGCACTCACAGAGGAGAGACAGAGACGGAGGGAGAAAACACTTCCACTGGGGCATGATCACACCACAATACTTCCTCCTCCTTCCCATCAGGATTTGGGACACACATGCACAGGGGCACACGTGCACAGGTGCTCAGTGTGTTTTTCAGCCACTGGGGGTGGGATTTGAACTGTAGTTAGCTATGTGGGATCTGGCTCCCTAACCACTGGATTACAGGGTCAGCCCCCAAGCATCTAAATAGGAAGAAAAACAAGCTCAGTCATCCCTGGGGTAAAGAAGTAGGGAGAGGGACTTTCCAGAAGAAGATTTCACCTGGGGGTGAAAAGACAGGTGAATGTGAATGACAGGAAACAGGAAGGGACATTCTAAGCTGTTAGAACAACTGACGCTCATCCTTGGGGCAGGAAGGCTCTGGGTCTGTCCGGGAAAGAAAGGATGGACCACAGGGAGCACCCTAGAGTGAGTGGGGGAGATAAGCCCGGTCAGGTAAACCGGAGGGCTTCCAAGAAGGTAGGGGTGACGAGGCGGGGCTCTCATAGCAGGCGGCGAGGGTCTTCCTAGGTGTGGGCCACGTGGCCTTTGGTAAGTCGGGTGGTGGCACATGGCGAATGGACCTGCGGGACCGGTGAGAGTAGGAGGCTGGGCTGGGAGGCACCGCAGCACCGTGGGAGACGGCTGGGTCTGGGGTGCGGGCAGGGGTGGAGCTCGGGCTCCTCTCAAGCGCCAGAAGTCAGCCAGTGTCTGCAGGGACCTGGGAACCGCTCGCCCTCCTGAGAGCATCACCTCTCTCCTGCCTCAGCCCCGGGGAGAGGGAGCCACACGTCCCTGGCCCAGCTCTCAATGCCAGCTCTGCCAGCCAGTGACACCTCCCTGAGGAGCGTCCATCTCCTCTCAGAGTTCTGGGGCTGCTGGAGCAGTTGCACCCACAGATGCCCCCAGCTCGTGCCTTTCTGAGTTGAGCCGGACAGTTGTGTGGATCCACTCACTGGCCCTCCGGTGTGCAGCTCAAGGCTGTCGGGTCCCTCTGCACCCCTGCTCCATGCCTGGTCACACCGGCCACACTCCGCGACTCTGGCTTAGGGGAGACTGTCATTTTCACAGCCTTTTCCACGCAGCGGCAGGCCACCTCTCCCCGGGGGGATCCCCCTCAGAAAGTACACTCCTGGGCCCAGAAAATGCCACCCTCCTCTGTCAGACTGATGGGTGGCTGCATTTGTGTAGGGCCGAGAGCCAGGCCATTGCCCCAGTCTACAGGCATCCCCCAGGATGGGGAGGGCTACAGCCCAACATGCCCCCATCCAGACCCCGTCGGTGCTCACAGGGAGGCCCCTGTGGAGATGCAGAAGAGCAGGCAAGACTGGGAAGTGGGCCGCTAGGCTTCCAGCAGAGGTTCCGCCCTTCAGTGCCTTTTATCGCAACTGCTCCTGCCAGACCTGCCAGACCATCCCGGGGACCCCCACATCCTGGAGCCAGGACCCCCACCTGTTGGGGAAGTTGCAGGGCAGGGTGGGCAATGCAGGGGGAGGTCCCCTAGCAAAGGGCCTGAGGC